GCAAGGCTGCTCCCCCAGGACTGTTGTTCCAGCCTATTATCTAGAATAGCAGACACTGCTCTGTGCCTCCTATGCATAGTTCTTTGGCTTTCCAATGTGCCTAATACATGGATCTGCTCTCAAGCCCCTCAATCAACAGTGTTTGTTGTACTTCGCCCCTGCAAGGCATATATTAAGTCCAGAGAGTTCCCTCCACCGGCGATCCACTGCTACTCTGTCCATGATTCCACACAGATCCTCTCTTGCCTTAAATAGTACTTACCAAATTTTGCACTGCTTTCTACTCCAAGTAGAATCAATGATGATTTTCATTCTAAACTAAGGAACATACTTGTAAACAAATAAAGCTCCTGCTTATTTAGACTTTACTTTGGAATTCTGTTTTCAGAAGAATACTGAATACATTATGGCCTATGTTCCTAGCACTGAAAGAGCTCTTTTGGGAAAAGGCTTCTTCCTCGCAGGAGGGGGATTACCAATGCCAGAAAAACCCATCTGTTCTTTCGGAAGAACACGATTACAGTGTGAATGTAACTCAGGTTTTGTTGGAGAAATGGCCGGTTTTGCAACAAAACTTTTTAGTGTAGACTTACCCTTAGTGAAGAAGTACTGACCAAAAATCTAGAAAGAGACTAGCTCAGGGTATGTCTACAGGGTATGTTCAAACTAGGGTGGTAATACAGTCAACCGGAGTTGCAAACGAAGCCCAGGATTTGAATTTCCCAGGCTTCATTTGCATGTTGCCGGGCACCGCCATTTTTAAATGTCCGCTAGTTCAGACTCCATGCCCCGCGGCTACACGCAGCACAAACTAGGTAGTTCAGACTAGGCTTCCTATTCCGAACTACCGTTACTCCTCATGGAATAGTAAGCCTAGTCCGGACTACCTAGTTCATGCCGCGTGTAGCCGCGGGGCACGGAGTCCGAACTAGCAGACATTTAAAAATGGCGGTGCCCGGCAACATGCAAATGAAGCCTGGGAAATTCAAATCCTGGGCTTCGTTTGCAACTCCGATTGCCTACATTACCACCCTAGTTCGAACTAGGGTGGTAATGTAGACATACCCTCTGAGTTTTTCTATTTCAAAGGTAAACTTCTCTCCATTCTAGGCAAAACTAAAAGCAAGTAGCAATGCTATTAATGTTCTCTTGGACTGGTTATTACATACATTACATGCTTTTGTTGCTTGACATACACTTTTGTTTTCTGACTTTTTGTATTTTGCCACCATTTTCCTTCTCTTGGGGAAAGCTTTTGGTGTGACAGGCTTATAGATTTATCTCCTTCAAGGTTCTAATCTTCATTTTGCCAATGATTGACTCAGCTTATCCTATGTAAAGAGATTCATGCACTGCTTTTGCCTACTCTCACAGAAGCCTTTAAGGCACAGTTAATATTTGTAATTATACTTTCAAATATATGTCGTAAAAAGCAAAGTGAGTATTATTTTTGGGCTTTGTGTGATCTTTTTATTCACACTGTGTATATGCATCTAGATTAATTCTTTTTGCCTCTAATTTTTTAAATAGAGGATAGAGTATACATTGTTTTCCTACGATGATTCATGGAAGCATTGCATCCTCTATATATAACATCATATTAATAAAGATTTAAAAGAGACTAAAGAGGGTTATAGTATTATTTCATAAGCTTTGCTGTTAGAAATGTACTGCATAGCAGTTCATAATTCTCTCTTCTTAAATAGACAAATCCCAAATAAAATTAGGTATGGAAAGTTTTATTTAATTTAAACTATATTTGTTGAAGTATATTTTAAAATAAAACAGATACACTTTGCGAGTGTGTTTAAAGATCTACAGCTACCACTGGAACCAGGGGGAAAGGGTTCACAAGAGATACTAAGGGAAACAAACACATCTGTCCATGTGAGTGTGCCTCTAGCTGCACTTTAGTTATAGTGAGGAACTGCCCTTATTCTAGCTGAGGAAAAACAATGGAATCTTTGCTTTTCTGATGCAGCTTGGACCCTCACTAATGGGATAAGGGAAGGTGGTAAGAATTAAACAGATTTCTCCCCCTCCCTTTTTTTTAAATGATGAGCAGGTCTTTCTTCCCTTCTGGGCAGAACAGCACTAAAGGATTACTCTTCTTTGACTGAGCCTGATGCAGTTTAGCTGGGGGCTGTGGAAGGGAGCAAGGGAAGCAGATGCCAGTTATATAAGGAGCCAGACTCTTTGTGTCCATGTAGCCTGCTATTTTGTGTTTCATTTGTATTTTTGTATCCATTTAGAGGACTTTGATGCTTTAACCTAAGGTAGTAGTTCAGGTAAGATCATGGTGTTTCCTTCTGAGTTGTGTTATTCAAGAATAAATTCCTAACAATGCAGTAGAGGAAAGAAATTGAAATTTGTGTGCAACTGAGGGGTCAGGAAAGCATACTTCAGAGTCCTGAACTGCAATGGAAATGACAGCATTAGCAGTCCTTACACCAAAAAAGCCATATGGTTGGCATGGTAGCAGAAGACAAATAGTATTTAATATGTATCATAAAACAGGAATAAAAAAGAATCAAGGAATAACTCAAGGAGGATAAAGTATGTTTGACAGCTCTTCTGCCTTTTAAATGATCCTTCGGTGTCTTCAGAACAGTTAACATAACTTGTATAGTCAGGAAATTAAATATCACGGCTAAAGAAATATTTTCTACAGCTTTTTTTCTAAAATGAATCAGAGTTACAGAAATCCTATGCAACTTCTTATATGATAATTTATAATTCCCTAGACACATTAATAGGGTTACTCACAGTTTTCTTTATTCTGGGTTCTGCTAATCAAGTTTTGACTGAAGCTGCAGAAGACAAATAAGTTATCTTACAAGCCTTGGAGGCAAAACTGATTTGTAAGTTTGTACAGACCTTTAACACTATGGGATAAATATCAGTTTATGTTTTCAGAAGTGACTAATGATTTTTGGCCTGCCCAATTAAAGATCTGAAAGACACCTGATTTTCATCAGCCAAATTATTTAAGCTGTATTACACTGAGCATTCAGAATCACTACTTCCTTTTGAAAATTGAGATGCACACCTTCTAGAATTCTTCAACATGTGAATGTTTCATTTTACAACCTCATTGTTACATTAAACACATTCCCACCTTCTCTCTCTTCCACACTTTTTGTGTACAACATAAGCTTCAGCAAAAATCTCCATGAGCCGAACTTTGCCTGACTTTCCAAGATATTATCTAAGAAGTCCAATAACTGGAAACATTTGAACAGTGGAGTTCGTTTTCTAAGAAGCTATGAATTATCTAAAGAATATCATACAAACAAGTACTATAGCTTACATGAGTGTAATTGGATGAGATTTTTCATCTTTTCAAATGCTAAATGAAAAGGCAAAATGTTTAGTTCCTTCCCACTATTCTACTTTCTATTTTGAACTTCAAGATGAAAGTTCTCAAGGAAATTCCTACCTGTTTCATAGACTGCTTCAGATACTGAAGTAAAATGATCTTCTACTGTATATTGTGCCAACCGGAGTGAGTCCAAGCCTCGAACTGAATCATTTCCTCTGGTCCAGTGAAACTGGACATCATTGATATTATAGCCCCCTGTAGTTACAGACAAACCAACTGTAAGTTTTTGATAAATATAATAATTTGTGTAACACACATTTTTCTATCATCCTTTCACCAGTATAGGGAAATAAAACTGGTGTAAATCGGCAAACAAAAGGATGAGTTGTATAGGACAGTCACTGGCAAAGCCCATAAGTCTGACTGGAAGAGGGGAAAATTCTGGAATTTGGAAATGCAGAGCTTATAAACTACACATGCAATAAAACTTAGACTTCTTCACAGGTGGCAATTGTGCTTTGTATATATTAATTTATAAATAGATTATACATGGATAAAATACCTCTGAAGGGGTTTTAACAATAAATTAATGCTTCAGAGGGGTAGCCGAGTTAGTCTGTCCAGGATAAACTTAAAAAACAACAAATAGTCTGGTAGAACCTTAAAGACTAACAAAAAATGAAGATGGTATCATGAGCTTTTGTGGGCACGGGTGAAAAAGCTCATGATATCATCTTCATGTTTTGTTAGTCTTTAAAGTTCTACCAGACTATTTGTTGCTTTTAAATAAATTAATGGGTGGCCAGTTAAACTTTTAGAACATACAAGAATAAATAACAAACATTTGAGAATCTATTTTCATTTACATAGATTAATAATTTTTGCATTTGATATCCACTGTGTCTCATTCTACTGCCCTGTGGAATAACTCAATTCTAATTCACAATAAAGTGATATGCAACACTAATGTCCAAAGTAGCTTAGAATTCCAGGTTTTATCTAACTTAATGAACTGGCAGTGAATAAAAACAATTCTTGAAACCTGAGAAAGACATGAGTAAGCACATAGAGAAAGGAGGAGTTTTTGAAAATGTATTTAATAGTCCCTATTCTTTATAAAAACAAGTACCTGTAGTTCTATCTGAACAATTTATGGATTTAGCTGGTATTAAAACATTTTAAAAATATTAATCTTAACCATTATCCTTGAGAATAACTTTTGGCAGCTTTCACACATATCAGGCAAATTACATTTTTCATAGAAATATTACATTGTTTCCTCACTAGATAAGATAGAGACATGAATTTAGTATATCACAACATGTTACATACAAGAAGTTTTTATTGACAAAATATTTGAAACTGATAGTATCACATCCACATTATTTTTCTTTGATGGGCATTCTCTTGTCTCTTTAGATGACATTGGGTTATTTGACATTTAAATTACTTTTTTCTTTTTGCTGGATCTCAAGAATAAGTTTGGGGGCTTCACTGAACAGAAGAAACAAAGAACAAAGAAAAGAAATTCAAAAAGAGAACTGTTCAAAGGTAGATCTAAAAGATGAATAATGTGCAAGCAAGATAGAAACTGCACCCCTCTTATTATGTACCTGTACAGTGTGTAGCACAAGGCCCCAAGTGGGGATGAGGCTTCTGGGTGCTGCAGTAATATTATTAATAATTTCATAGTCAACTGAAACTTGATTTTCTAGCAGACAAATGTTGAGAAATTTCTCATTGTGGAATTATTAAAACTAGTTGAAAGTATTTGATTTCTTTCAAAACGTTATTTTTATATGTATCCATTTTTCAATTAGCAAAATTACAAATAAAGATCCCTAGAGTGTTTTGTTATATAAACCACATGTCCTCATATATCACTATTTTGTAATATTATTTAAATGTTTTTATTAGAATAACGTAACAAAACTCCTAACAGTTTATTTCAGTTGAAATATTTGCTTTATACTGTTTTTATATATGTATATAATACCCAGCATTCATATTTACAAGTGAGCAGTCTCTGGAGAAGTAACACATTATTCTTCTGTAAATCAATGTTTCCTATCCAATAGGAAAGCTAACACCATTGAAACTGTAACAAGAAAAAATCGTTTAGGAAATCTTAACAAAAAGTGACTGCCACTGCTAAAGGCTATTCATAATCTTCTTATTCTGCAATCTGTGTTCCTGGCTATTTTTCCAGAACCCAAAGAAGAATGTCATGGAATCAGTTTAGATTATATTACAGTGTTTTCCCGACAGTCAGGAGATTATTGTAGGTTCTCTAAAACAACAGATGGAATCATTCTAAAAATCATAATGTTCAATTAGACAGGGAATTCCTCTGTTTCCCCCTTGTCAAATACATTTTAAGTTCCTGAGGGAGCTCCAAAAAGTGCTGAATGACTCATTAGGTAATGTTGTTGATCTAAGTACATCATTCAGTATTTGACTTACCAATTGTGTTATCATTCTCTGTGTCTTTTTTAATTTTGTTAAGAAAAAATATCACTGCTAAATAGCAATTCTGATTGTGGCCTCCATAATGCTTCCACTGATGTTAGTCTTGTCTGAGTATGCCTTGCAGGTCATAGCCCTTTGAATAGCAATTTAATGTCAAATTTTACACCATCTTCTAGCTGGAAATTACTAATAGAATCATTTACCAAATGAATACAGGATGTGCTGTTTTGCAGAAATGAAATGGTAAAAATGTGAAAATACTGCAAAAAATGCCATAAGTATTCCTTCAAATTTGAAAGTCTTTGCTTCAGTTATGCTCTTGCCCCTTTTTGAGTTCACTTTCGATGAAAAATTGTGCACTTGAATTTTACTCACACAAATAGTAGTAGAAAACTAGTTTTAAGCTTGAATACTTAAGTGCTCATGGATATTAAATATTATACTTACGTGCAAGTACTCACAGGTAAAGTGGTATATTTTAATGTAGAATAGGGCACTGCTTCTTTCAAAGCACAGAACATTTAAATCTTAGCCTTTCCATTGATGACTCTCCCTCCATTCCCCAGTGCTCTGGCATGGATACCATTAAATAAGTAACATAAGGATCTATCCATAGCCTTTATAGCTAGAACTATAGATGTAATTACTTTTCTTGAATGTGAGGAAAGAAAAGTAAATCTCAAATCCAGCTGATAAGCTTTACACTAATCTTTTTTTTCTATGAATGATGCTTCAAGCATGTCTTTTGTGCCTAAGAATTGAAAATATTTAAAATTCCTTCACTGCTTATTTGTTACTTCCCCTGAAAAATTCAAGACCCCTCAGGGTTTCAAACCATCCTTCTGATTACAGGCAGACAGGAATAAGAGCCTGTTTCATATGTGACCAATTTTAGCTAACCAAAACAGACTGAGTTTGGAATATCAATCCTTGAATAGATGCAACAAGCTATTCGAGATCAATCCACACAGATAAATTTGCTAGCAGAAATAAGTCTATTTATGAGGTTCTGCATATGGTGAATTGGAGGATCATAGTCTTTTGTATTGCTCTTTATCCTAAGGTCTTGTCTATACTGAGGAGGTAAGACGATCTAAATTATGTTGTGTGAGTTACACAACTTAAGTTGATAAAGCTTCGCTCGACTTACAGTGGTGTCCACACTGTGCTATATGGATCAGAGATGCTCTCCTTGACTTCACCAGTCCTGCTAAATTGACACCATTGAATTGATCACAGCACACTGAGTTAGCTCACAGTGAAGACAATCCATGAGAATTTCAATGTTTTGGGGTTGGTTTTTTAAATTATCCCAAAATAGAAAAGTACCCAAATACCATTGAAATTCAGCAACAGTTCGTCACCCAATTCTCACCAATCTTCTTTATAAATCCCATCCCTCTTTGATAATGTTAAACAGTATCTAGTAGCCCTTAAAACAGATGACAAATATTGTCCTAACTATAAAAAATGTAGCAGTAATAATATCTCTTACAGCTTTCAAGTTGCAAGGTACATGTCTGCTTATCCATAGGATATTTGGTCAAATCCATGCTACATGCAACAGTTGCAGTTATCCTTTAAAAACAGAAAGCAGATGGTTATTAAGTATGCATAATATTGTATGTACTACAGTTAGAAATAGGTTGCCCTGCTTTCTTGAACTAGTATTTGTGGGCAAATACATATGCGTAGGAAGGTAACTGATGTCTAATATAAAAAGGAGCTATTGAGTTCAGGTTCAAACTATAAAGAAAATAGCTCTTCCTTGTCGTGTAAACCTCAACTTTCTAAGTATCTATACAAAATACAAACAATTAATGGGCCATATCCTACAGTCATTTGTAACATATGCAATGATTGGCATTACCCAGGGCATAATTGCTGAATTTAATCTCTACACAATAATCTACTTATAAATAAATTAGTTATTATTATAATTACTTTGGCTTTTATTTTCATAAAATTAAGAGTCAGGGGCTAGAAGTAACCATTAGATTATATAGTCTAACCTCCTATATAACATGGGTCACCAACCCCACCCAGCCACCCATGCATTAAGCCCAAAAACTGAATTAGACTTAAGTATTATAACCTGAATAAGGCTAAAACTAGTGTGTAGCACAGGCAGAAAACTGGAGAGACAAAGGTGCACCAGTGCCTAATGCCCAACGCCCCTGCAATGTCAAAGATTTAGATGTTAACTCAAAAGTGGCTGGTATCAATAGCTGCATGTATATAGATCTGAAAAAATGTATATAATAGAGCCCTACAATCAGAAAATTTTCTAACCCAAGATCAAGTTAAGAGCACGTCATATTAATCTGAAGAATTTAAAATGTAAATTGAAGTTATGTGTAAACATGGCTTATGAAGTATACATACCGTATGGCATAAAGGACAGTTCCATTGGGATATATTCTTATTAGACGATTTTCAACAGTGATATCATGAAGAAAAGATTTCTTTGAGTCTACTATAAAGGTGTCTGGTACCCAAAGCATTTCTACAAGTCGACCATCTAAGCTTAAACTCTTATTGCCCTCAAAACAAAGTCTTTCATCAGTCCATCGTTGTCTAAGAAATATGGTAGCTGTGTAATCCTGGGAGGAGATAACACAAAAAGTCACAGTAAACAAAGACATTATTCTTTTATTCTTCACATGTAATTTGAAAGAAAATGTGTCCTTTCTCTCGTCTCTTAAACACATGAAAACAAACCTATTGCCAAAGACATCAGTGCTTTGCATGTTGTCAGGGCCTCAGCTCACATTTCGCCCTGATTCAAATATGACATTTTATTTTGTATATCAGTCATGTTGTTCATTAGCTTCCATTTTTAAAATTAATACTTGATTTTACCAAAGTGACTGTGTTGACGATTATATCATATTGCATTATTTTTGCATTGTTTCTAACTCTTAATTTTGAAATTCATATGAGGAAGTATAAACTAATGACACCAAATTATATTTAATTTCTGTAGACAAGAGTCAAATCTTGAATTGTCAAGTGATAAAACACAGTGATAAAAAATTAGTTAGAAGGTATATTCTGATGTTGAAAACTAGTAAGATCTTTATTTTGTGCCCAAAGTAACTCTTTTTTGAAGTTAGAGGGCTTTACCATTTACTTAAATGGGAGCATAAGTAGACCATAGAAGAAGTTAAAAGGTATGTTTTACTCATCTCCTTATTTTTTTCAACATTTCTGAGCTTTTTGTAATGAAATACAGTTAGAATGAATGATTGTTTGAAACACATGGTAAGAATAATAATATAAGTTCGATGGTTAAGTGCAAGGAGAGTAGTTTCTAATGATCATATGTGGCTAGTTTTCTAAAATGACATTCAGGAGTTAACTACTGCTGTGCAAGTTATTCATTGGAATGTCAGAATATTGTGTAAACGGCACATCTAATTTCTGGTAATTTAACGGGAACACAATTTGCGCTTGCACTTACAAAAGGCACAATCCAGCCTTTTGCTTCATCATGTCCTGCAAATATAAGGCTTCATTTCTTAATATCTCAGACATGGTGTTTGTTGAACAAGAAGAAAAGCTACCTCAAAAGTACTTTACAGAGATCTGTAAAACAACAGGCATTAACTTAGATAACAAATATTATAAAGCTACTATACCATGTTTATTTCTGATATTGTATCAATGCTTGCTATATCCATACTCATTCCTACTGAGACAGGACCATCTGAAAAAAATGGAAGAGCTGAGCATTATTTAAAGTACAGGTTGAATCGCTCTAGTCCGCCACTATCTGGTCTGGCAATATCCACGGGCCTGCATGATTTTAGTTGGCTGAATGTCCACTTATCATGGTTGTGGCCAAGTTTCCTGTGGTTTCATAAAATGTGTTTATAGCCTCCAGTCCTGGCTCTCAGTATTCTGTGCTGTTATTTATCTCTATTTACTCCTAAACGTCTTCTAAGCCCCAGTCTAAACTAGGGCATTATTTCAAATTAACCCCCCTCAGCTTGAATTTATAAGTGGAGTATCCATACTACCAAGCCTATTATTTTGAAATAATGCTCCACTTCTTTTGAAATCTGTAGTCCTGCTTTTCTTGGGGAATACTGCTAATTCTGAAATTATTTCAAAATAGCATTAGTGTGGATGCTCCGTTTCCACTATTTCAACATATCTACTCCTCAGAGTAATTCGAACTAATTACTCCCCAGTGCTTCCTGGGGCTCTAAGTCGAGGTAACGCATCCATTTTAACGGAGCCTATCTCAGACTAATTTCAAGGCTGTCCTGTAGTGGGGGAATGCTATTTTGATGTTGTAAAATTGGGAGTAATTAAGTTGAATTTGGTTATTTCAAAATAATTTCTTAGAGTAGACATGCCCTAAGAGCTCAGTAAGCAGTGAAAGTGTTGGTAATGCTTGTAGACAATATTTACCTCCTGCAGTATGGCAAATTCTCTGGTTCGGCACCAATCAGGTTTCAAGGGTGCCGGACTAGAGAGGTTCAACCTGTAATTGTATTTAAATATTCAGTGTTCATCATTTACAATCCACAACAAAATTAAAATAACCTGCATTTCATTTGAAGCTGATGTTTAGCAAGGCAATTATTTTCAAGGAAATTATATTTAATCAGCAATACAAATCTAATATCAATCTTTTACTTAATGACAATAATTTAATATATTTGGATCTTAGGTTTTTTTATCTTTAGATATGTATTTCCACAGCTTTTTAAAATGATAGGCTTTTGTAATGTCAATGAAAGTGGTAAGGAACACATGATGCAATAAAGGTGCTGAGGGTTATTCCTACTCTACATTACACCCTTTTGCTTCCAGTTGCACAACCATGGAAAGGATTCTTGTAGCTGCAGCATCTGGTTCCTCAGATGTTAGCTAGCTGTGGAGTTGCTTCTCGGTCTGTTACATGATTAAAATGCAGATGGGCTATATAAGCTAGCTTATATAAGGGCTATATAAAGTATTAACTCCATTTTGTGTCACTGTATCTTGACATCACTTCTTGTTTTTTGGTTATTAGCTATAAATCATTTGCATAGTTCTGTATATATATGGTGGAAGTCTAGACAGTCATTTCATTCTTACCCTAGTAATACTACAATTTTAGTGAGAGTCCATACATCAAGAACCCTTATCTGACAATGTGATTAAGCACCTTAGAAATATATTAGTTAGACAGGTAGAGATGCAGTATTATTATTGTTTCACAATGATGTTTGTAGGGCTAGGCTTCTGATGCTCCTAGGAAGTCAAAATTTGCAGAGTGTCAGAGAGAGGATGGTTTTATTGATCAACTGTGAACTCAAAGTATTCATGATTGTGAATGGCCTCCTTGAGAGCATGGCACACAATTATCCTAGCTGAATGTGTGCATGATGATGAAAAAGAGAGCATCTATGAGGAAACTGACATTGAATATATGCACAACTTTTTTAAAGTAGCTTCATGTGGGTAACCAAGTTAGTCTGTACAGGATAAAGTTAAAAAAACTGTATTTAAAATGTATCCCTCAGGGCAGTTTTATAAAAGTTCTAATTATGGACAGTGTTGCAGCTGACACATCCAACCATGATGCTGTTATTATGATGATGTAGTGCTCACCATATTATGCTTCAGCAATGCAGCCATCTTCTTCAATGGAATTGTACTTAGCCTGGTATAATTCTGTATTTTCCAACAGGAGAGACATTTAAACTCCATCTAATTTTAGGGCAGAATTCTCCTTGATTTGCATTGGTCTGTTTGTTGGGAGAGAAGATGAGAGCATGTGGTGCTTCTCCCTATTCTCCCTTGCTTCTAAGGCACATATACAGTGTCAGCAGAGAATATAAACCAGGTGTTCTCTTGAAAGCAAGGAATAGAGGGGGATATTCTTAGCTGATGGTTATTGTTCACAAAATAAAAATATTTTACAATTGTAATACAGTATCACCTTTTAGCAGCAAGCTTGGTTCCCTGTTGTGTTAGGTGTTCTACAAATCCCTAGTAAATGAGAGGAGTGGACAGGTATTTAAACAGAACTGATAGAGACAAATTAAAACCCCTGGATCAATTTTACATGTGCAAAAACCTAATGGATCTAATCTCTCATTGCTACATGGATAGGTGCTATTCAAGAGAGATAAATGATCATTTTTCTATTGCTGGAGGAGTATTCCCTGTATCAGGTTCACTGTATTCACAAAAATAAATATCTTCATAGACTCTCCATTGTGATTCTAGCTTGATTTTTTTTTACTGAAAATAATTTTGAGTCATCTGTCTACCTCAATAAATGATACATAAAAAGGAACTGACAAGACTGAGGTTTTGCTAAAACAAAAAATTATGCGTGTTTAAAATTAAACATTAATTAAAGATAATGGTGCTTCTTTCTCCCTCTTGGCAATAGCAATAGGAAATATACAGAATTTTATGTCAATCTGTTAATAAATGTTGTTCTCTTTTTAGGGTTAGAAATCTACTTGCTAAAGAGAATTTAGTGTCAATTGTTTTTGTAGTGTGATGTTTGCATACTAATACCACTTCATGTCTTGCCTAAAATAAAACCCTAAATATGAACACCTCTGATCTATTGGCTTTCAAAATTCAGAATAAAATCTGTCACATTTTTCACTAGATTAAATCATATTCCTAATTCCCTTTATACCTAGTTAATACTAATCTCTAAGCATTGTTGATGCCACAACCAGCTCATCTAAACATGATATGACAAACTTATTTCCTTTCGGGAGAATATTTTTTCTGTAAGCATCTTTACTGAGTGTATAATTAATAGTAGATCAAACAGAGCAGATAACAAACAAGAATATGCACACTGAAAACAGAGTGTGTTGCATTCCAATGTTAGTTTGTACAAGAAAATTAATGAAAACAGAACATGATTTTTATCAAATCTATGAGTACTTTGATAAAATGGATTATACAATCTGCAGTCTCTTGGGTAATGTAAGCAGCTTTATGGCCCAAATTTACAAATCCACAAGCATGCTTTTATGTGTATTCGGTATACTTGCATGTGCTTCAGGGATTGTACAGGCATACACTGGAGTCATGCCAGTGTGCATATATGCTTATTTACTTATGCATATTGATTTATATGTTGCACTTAGGACCAGATCCTCAGGTGGTATAAACTAGCATAACTCCATTTACTTCAGTGAAGCTACACCCATTTACAGCTAACCATCCACGTGCATTTGGTCAACCTCTTGTCATTATCTACATATAATTATTAACTAAACAAGAAAAAGAGTTGAGGCGCCCATAATAAAAAAGCCCCTAAGTGTGACTGCACTGATCCAATGGCTTAACCTTTCAGTTAGGGGTTGTGGACACAGTTGCAGCTCTGAGGCTCTGAGTAAAACTCCGATCATCTGAAGAAGTGGGCTGTGCCCACAAAAGCTCATGATACCATCTACATGTTTTGTTAGTCTATAAAGTGCTACCAGACCATTTGTTGTTTTTTAAGTTGATCCTGTACAGACTAACTCAGCTACCCCCTGAAACTTCTGAGTAAAGTCTGTTATACTTTAGGCTTGGCCTACACCAAGGCTGGGCAAGAGCCATTCAGCGCACCTGATCCATCCTGCCTAGCTCTTTTATCCAGCCCGCACGGCAGTTCCCAACCCTCCCCCTAAAATGTTGCCAGTTAAATGTTGTTTAGCTTCCGTTAAAAATATTTGTGCGAAATTATGCCAGTCTAGACGCAGCCATGGATATAATGGCTCCAGCAATTCCTATGCCTAAAAACAAGTATCTTAATGGCAACCATTATTACCTATCTTGTTGTGTATTGTGTTAAATGAGATGGAATGTATTTAGCACTCCACATTTACTAACATTATGTTTCTTGTTTACTAACAAAAGACTACATCCTCCAGAATATTACACAAACACCCATTTAAAGCAGCTGTCAGCAGTAGGATAAAAGAATAAAAAAGAGAAACAGATGTATACATTTTATGCACTTTTAAATACAATACAGCAGTGTTTTCCAAACTATAGTCCGCGGCCCAGTACTGGTACCACAGGAAAAAAATATCAGGCCTCAGCGTGACTGAGGTGTTCCGGGCTCCCAGAGTGCCCATGCAGCGTCAGGGCCCCCAAGCCCTGGACCAGGCTGGGCAGAGGATGCAGCCGAGTGTTCTGGGCTCCCAGCAGAGGCATAGTGAGGGGGGAGCAGTTGCCCCTGGGCGCCACCCTAGGGGGGTGCCAGGCTGGGCTGCGGGGATGAGGGGGGGAGTTGCCGGGAACCCAGCGCTGGACTCAAGGGGAGGAAGGGAGGGAGGGAGGGGCAGGGAATCAGAGCTGGGCTCAGCATGTCTGTGTGATTTGGGGGAAGGTGCAGGGAAACGGACCTCAGCTGGGCTGCGAGAGTGAAGAGGTATGGGGTACTGGGCTGAGCTGGGCTGCAGGGTGGGTGGAGGTTCCAAGCTCAGTGCACAGTTTGGCTGCAGGAGGAGGGCTTGGCTCAAGGGCAGGGAGAGAGGAAGGGAGGGGGCAGGAAATCAGAGCTGGGCTCAGCAATTCTGTGGGGCTTGGGAAGAGGTGCAGGGAAACGGGGCTCAGCTGTGCTGTGGGGGAGCCATGCAGGGAAGCAGTATGGGGCTCAACTGAGCTGAGGTGGATGCGGGAAGGGAGCAGAAGGGCAGCTCAGCTGGGCTGTGAGGGGCTGCACTCCCTTGGACTGGCCTGTGAGGAACTGGTGCTGCACTCCCTTGGATTGTGGCAGATGGTTTTGGGGGAGGTGCTGGGAGCCAACGGGGGTGGGCAGCTCAGTTGGATTGCAGGGGAGGGAGGTGCAAAGAATCCTAGTGGGGAGTGGGGGAACCAGGAGTCCTGAAATGACCTCCTCTGGTCCAAAAAATCTCTCATCTGGGACCAGTCAGGTCCAGAGGGTGCCAGACCAGGGAAGTCCAACTCCTACCCAAGTCCCCTTCTTGCACTCTCCCTCCGGGTGAAACAGTAAAAAGGTATTCATTTTTCATTCTTTTTTTTATATGCGTTTATATTTTTGGACTGCAAAAAACAGTACTGAAAAAAAACCGGGTTCCAACTAAAGTAAAAAATTTGGAAAACCCTGGTCTAGCCAGCTTTCTATCCACTTTACTGTCCATTTATCCAATTCATATTCCCTTAACTTGCTGGCAAGAATATTGTGGGTGACTGTAGCAAAAGCTTTGCTAAAGCTGGCACTGGGGGCTTTGGAAGGAGTAGAAACAACTTATTTGCATATTCATCATTTGCTTAATGAATATGAAAATATGCAAATGAATGTCACCGGTCCTCCAAAAGCTCATGAATGGATTTACTGGTCCCTGTGTCAAAAAGTTTGGGAATCCCTGCAATACAGTAATGGCTATTTGTATTTTATAAAATTGGTCTAAAATTACACATGGGATAATACACTCTATCTGGTAATATGACAAATAGTCGCACTACATGTGTTCAGACATTAGGAAATAATTTCATAATCTAAGAACCTCTTTAGCCAGTGATTTTAAAGGCATGTCTACACAATAGGGCAAAAATCAAATTAAGTTACACAACTTCAGCTACGTCAATTGCGTACTTGATGTGAAAATGGCTTAATTAGGCTTTTTGGCAGTGTCTACACAGCAGGAAATTGAAGGAAGAACACTCTTCCTTCAACTTCCCTTACTCCTTGTGAAATGAGGGTTTCAGGAGTCGGAGTAAGAAGTCCTCCAGCTCAACATTATTTTGAAATAATAGCTTGCTGTGTAGATGCACTCTGTTATTTTGGAATAACGTCAATGACGTTATTCCAAAATAACTCTGCTGCGTAGACATAGCCTTAGTTAGTACATAAGAGGAAATAATTTTGTCAGAGAGAATGAAGCCTATGAACTCCTAACTTTAGAATTATTGCGTTATTTCACTTCTATTCATATATTTTATAATGCCATACATGACCTGCCATACATGACTTCAGTTTCAGGGTCTGCAAGTTATTCATGGTAGACAATTTTTATTACACTTTCTTACCACTTGTAAGCAGTTTTAAACATATACAACATGCTGGTCCATGCAAAGAGCTGATCCATCATTAAGCCTTCAGATTAGTGAATATCACATGCAAGTTAGTATACCAGAGCTTTTTTTTTTTTTTTTTTTTTAATATATATAGCTTAATAGATAGTTGTTGCTACTGAGTATGTTGCAGTCAGGACCCCATAAATCTCAGTGCCAAGTTCAGAGGCTGAAGTGAGATTCCTGGAAGAACACTGATAGATGCAGTAACATGCCTATTGGCAGTAATACTGTTGACTTCACAATGCTAAGAAACCTCATCTTTTTTTAAATTGTCTGTGTATCTTACTTGTGTGTATGAGTAAATAAATATATTCACACTTAGGTCAAAATAAGAGTAAAAAAGTCATAGATCACTAAAGTCAAAAGCAGATTAAATATTAATAACAATCTCTTTTCTCCCATAACACTAATAATTTAAAACCAAAACTAGTGTTGATTACATGTTTCTACTAGCTCTGACTTATGATTGCATTTATTTTTAATTTATTTTAAAAGATTAATGTTCAATTTCACCAACTTTGGAAAACTTTAGAAATATGTAGCTGACTTTCAAACTGTTTTGTACCTGCAGCACAGCAAAATTCAACCCTGAAGCAAGGGAAAATTGGGTCTAACTTCCTGGGTGAGAAGAGTTTTCATATTTAGTAGCAACAACAATATTTGTCTCCCCTTGTATATCAGCAGGTTGAGAATTGTTAAAATGAGATGTAAAGCTCTTCTTATGCCTGTTATATTTTAATAGTTATAGGTTATATTATATTATTTATATAAATACACAACTTAAATAATTACTTCTACTTATGGTCAGAAAGCATGAACATCAGTACTTGTGGATGTTTAACATAAATACATGAAATATTGGAAGGCTTTTTTTTCGTCTTTATAAATCCCACCTTGTTTCATCTTTATAAATCCCACCTTGGTTCAAAAGAGTCATTATGTTAAAAATTGCATTGTGATATTATAGAGTGGCACGCATCTTCCAATCAATGTGCCACTGTCAAATCTGGAGAAACAGAGGCACAGATTAAAAAAGAGATCCATGCTTAAATTTGGGCTACATTTTTCAGATGCTATGTTGTGAAAAGAGGTAGACTTATCGAAAACAACTTATATACTTACTATCAAAAAATGGACGTAGATACTTGTTGTATCCCTTCATTATTTTCTGTATAGTTGGAGGAAGAATTTCACCTTTTCCTTCAGCTGCAGACATTTTTGTTAACCTGAAAGAAAACAAGAACATGAAGTAGCTTTAGAGAGACAAAACTGATTTTCCTGAAACTGGTACAGTACTTGGGTCGGGGCAAAAAGGACTGCTTGCTATTAGATTTATATAACATAAAATATTTTATGCTTTTGCATTTCATAAAGTACATAGCTACAGAAAAATATCCTAGAGAATGTTGGACTTCATGAATCCATATCAATACCTAATTTGCATAAAATATCATTTTTAGCTTTAAATTGTCTTAACCTGCACTTTTAACTGTACAGCTTGTGGAAACAGTTCAGTTTTCTCTAGCACTGTATGGCTACGTCTAGACTGGCATGATTTTCTGCAAATGCTTTTAACGGAAAAGCTTATGTACCTGAGCTTCCTTTGCCTTGGTACTTATTTTTTAAACACATGTCTACACTCCTAAATTAAGTTTAGTTACTAAAGTTTTCTTAAGGAATTTATCCAAAATGCATTAGCACTCTCTAATACATAATTACTTTGAAACAGCTGTGCCAGGCTACTGTCTAGAGAATGTATTTTTGAAAAAATATGAATATGTATTTATCAAATAGACTGGAATGCCTTTTTGTTCTGGTCTGTCAGGTGTATAATGCATATTTTAAAACATTCTCTATTTAACAAACCACAGCAGCTTCTACATAGCAAAACAATAATACTTTGAAATTCACCAGCATGTTAATGCTTAACTTATTAAAAATCCAATTATGAAATAGGGTCAGTGCCCTCATATCCAAGTGAAGGCTGTTAATATTTCACAGCATGTCTACGTCTAGACTGGCATGATTTTCTGCAAAAGCTTTTAACGGAAAAGTTTTTCCGTTAAAAACATTTGTGGAAAAGAGCGTCTAGATTGGCACAGATGCTCTTCCGCAAAAGCACTTTTTGCGGAAAAGCGTCCGTGCCAATCTAGACACGGTTTTGTGCAAGAAAGCCCCGATCGCCATTTTCGCCATCGGGGCTTTTTTGCACAAAACAGTTTTAAGCTGTCTACACTGGCCCTCTTGCACAAAAACATTTCTGGAAAAGGGCTTTTGCCTGAATGGGAACTTCAAAGCATTTGCGCAAGAAGCACTGATTTCCGACAGTAGAACGTTAGTGCTTTTGCGCAAAATCAAGCGGCCAGTGTAGACAGCTGGCAAGTTTTTGCTCAAAAGCAGCTGCTTTTGTGGAAAAACTTGCCAGTCTAGATGCAGCCAAGGTGTTTGGAATCTCTGAGGATTAGTCCCTTTAAACCCAGTTCAACAACCCTACCTTAATCTTGTAGAACTCTTACTTAAATCAAGGGGATATTTCCTGAACAAAACCCCCACATAATCAGGCCCAATATATCTACCTAATCTGATTCACACATACATGATACATATTTCAAACTATTTTCTATTTATTCTACCAGAAGATTTACTCCGTGTTTCTCGGTTTCTTAATTCAATTAATTTTTGTTTTGTGGAAAATTAAATGAAAATATGCATGCTTCATTTAAATCATTGTTCTGGGGTGGGGCTGGAGATGAGTTCAGTATTCAGGCTGCCCCAGGGAGAGAGGACAACCCCAGCCCTCTCTTACTGCAGTAGCTTGGGGCCAGATGAGAAGCGCCTTTCCATGGCTGCTGCAGCTCCAGCAGGCACAGGAATAGGGAAGGTCCAGGTTAGGCTGGTTGGGAGTCACAGAGGGATCACCTGTCCCCTGGCAGCAGCAACTCTGGGGCAGTTCTGGGTTGGGTGCCATGGCTTGGGGGAAGAGCAAGGTGCTTTCTACTCAGGCTCCAGCATGGAATAGACACGGCTGGGAGTTTGGATGAGGCACTGCCTCCCCCAGCCCCAGCATGAAGGTACCGACTACTGTCAGGCCAAAATGGAACTGCTGTGGCAGCTCTGTGCTGGGGCCTGCAGGCAGAGGCAGTACTCTGTCTGTGCCCTCCCTGAGCTCCTGCCACTAGGGCTGCCAGGTGTCTGGTTTTGAACTGGACAGTCCAGTATTTGAGCTTTCTGTTCGGGAAACAAATTGAGGAAATATAAATGAGGAAACATAAATGTCCGGTATTTTCTAAATAAGATGTAATGTAGATTGTGATGTAATGTCAAGTGTGTCCATCCTTAAACTTACCCTATACCATCTTACAACATTTGCTTAGTTATGTCAAATTTGAAGACTGTACTTCATTTGGTGATTTGTCTCTTTTCTGCATAGTTTTATGAGAAGCAATCCCATTCCAGGCACATCCTGTTTTCTTGGCATAACCAAACCCGTCCTTTGCTTTAAGTTATGTCAAGAGGAAGCTATATACAGAATTTAGTGATACTAGATGGAGTTTAGAAGGAGTTCTTGAACAAACAGACAAACACAACCAGACAGACAAGTCTCTCAAATATATAGTAGACTATAGTAGAAACTATGTAACAATTAAATTTAATATAAAGAACTGCAAGGTGAAATGTAGGTAGATGCTGCATATGCTTTTAACCCTGACTTAATACTCCAGTATATTCCTGAAACTTTGGTATTGAATACTTTTACCCAATGTTTGATTTGATTTTTTTCTTTACAAAAATTGCTTCCTTGAAACTGGCAGTACAGTTTGTTCATTAGTTTCAGTTTGAGTAATCTATGCTCTTTGTATTGAGACTGTAATATGGAAGAATGTCAAGTACCAGAATTGAAATAAGAAATGTCATTTGTAGAAATTAAAATGGGATCTATTGGAAATAACCCTTCACCAGTTATCCCATTCCAACGTTATTTTCAAGTGAATAGGTGAAGAAAAAACCATTCAAATAATATACATGGAAGAAGGAAGAGGTTGTTTGCTAATCTGTCCCTTGGAAGAGCCAACAATCAACAGAATAAACTGTGTAGACAAATTCTTCCCAGATTTATAATCTATCCATTTGCAAAAGAGTGTAAGGGTAGGATTCTATAAGGTTAGTCAATTAATCTCCCAATTTTCTAGAGAGATCTCATCAATAAATACATGTTATTATGAAACAAAAGGGCAAATACAAAGGAGTTCCTGACTAAAGCCCACAATAAACTAATCTCAGAGAATATATTTTATAATAAAATAGTAGCCATAATTAAGCAGTAAGTAAAATTGTCTATGCCAGTGGCTCCAGAACAATCAAGATTCTGTATAGCAGAGTTCACTTAGGGGCCAGCAAGCATAGCTGGCATTCCACAGACAGACCTCAAAGTTCCTTGGTCATCTGCTCAGGCCTTACCCACAGTCCAAGCTCTTCCCCTTGTGGATTTCCTGGATTCCTTCTTACAGCCAATTGCTCCTTCATTGTCCTTCCACGTGGAACATGCTCTGCAGCTGCTGAAGGGTGGTGCCTTAGCCCAATACTGTTCCATCACTCCTTTGTTCTTAAGTTATGTCTACACTACAGAGAAAGATCGAAGCTGCCACTGTCAGTCTTCCAGGGTTTGAATTAGCGGTCTAGTTAAGACAGCTAATTCAAAGTGAGAGGAGCACTCCAGTCAATGCCTATAATCCTGCTTTCACAAGGAGTAAGGGAAGTTGAAGGAAGACTGTCCTTCGTTCAACTTCCTGCAGTATAGACGGCACCAAAAGCTGAGTTAAGATACTTTGACTTCAGCTACAGAATTAATGTAGCTGAAGTTGAGTATCTTAACTCAACTTTGTCCTGTAATGTAGACATACCCTGAGTGAGCAATCTACAAAACCCATCAGAGAGAAGGAAAAGTGGGATGGGATACAGACAAGTTTGTTTAGAGGAGCTGAATATGTGAAGGGTTGAAGGAGAAAACCTGACCATTTAAAACTACCTTTTTCTACCAAATTGCTAAACTCCTATTTCAGTAGCAATTTGTGGCCCTTTGGGTAATTTAATCAAATACATATTATAAATGCTAAATTGAGATTTTTCTCAACATTCCATGTTTATTTATTTTTTCAATGAACTAAAGAGAGTTGAAAGTGGCTGCTGCAACACACATTTCTGCTAAGGAGTTCAAACAGGGTTTTGGAGGGTTAACAAAAGGCAGGTGTCCAAACACATCAAGAAATCCTAAGTAACAATTAATATATTTGAAATAGTTTGGGAAAATGTATGCAAAAGAGTTCTTTGGAGTTGAGGGAGTCTAATCATACTCAATCATCTCTACTGGTGGTCACATCATCTGCTATTTCATTGCTATTTGCAAGGTGGTGCTCTGCCCTTTGTGATCATTCTTAAGTCTCCCTGACTGTGTAATAAAAATAGATACCCTTAAAGTTACTCTCTCCTGGGGCCCCAGCAAAAGAGGGATATGGGGATGGCAAATCTAAAGTGCTGCTAAAAAACCAGTCCCGACATAATGAGTTTGAGGAAATTCCTCTAGCTAAGTCTCAGAGACAAGCTCAGCCTGTCCGTCTTAGATGGGAGCCTACTATATGCACATCAGGGCTAGGTGAAGGTCTCCTTCCCGGGAGTGCCCTTTACAACTTGTTCCTGCAGTCGACTCTTTTATGGAAACCCTTGTGTGATGGTGGTAGTTAGTGCATGCATACTCCCATAAATGACAGCAGTTTCCTTCCTTTTAAAGGCCTCCTCCCTATCATGCATGATTGATTGGGTCAGAGAAGTGGAGTTAGAACTACCAACCATGCTTCTCTGCCCCTTCCTCATTCATGTGGAGCCTATAATCCTTTTGCAATGTGTGCAAAATTTTTCTCTCTTATTTTATCTTCTCTTTTGATTAGGATTTACTTTTCGCAGGGGAAGGGTATATTGCATAGACCTCTTCAAAATGTTTGTTCTTTAAAGAGTGCTTTTTGTCTCTATTTTTTAAAGGTTGCATTCTTGCAACCCTATTGATTTCAGCAGAATTACATACACATTTAAAAGGTCAAAATTTGGCCCATTAGATAAGGGAGACACAAAGGGAACTGTACAGTATTTAACAATCTATTCTACTGAGCATCATAAGAACATACTGCAACCTAGGAAAAATGTTTTCAAAGAATTCCTTCCCGAAAGCCTTTCAGTGGCAATCAGACCAAGATGATTCAAGTTTGTAGAGTGGTTCACATACTCCCCTGACACCTTCCTTTGCACAATGAGAGAGACACCTGGGCACACCTCTGTGTAGGACATCCCTCCTCTGGTTCCTTCCGAACCTCTGCACTTCTCTACACACTTCGGGTATGTCTACACTACCCCGCTAGTTCAAAGGGTATGTAGACATACCCTTCCTGATCTATGCACATGCCATCCATAGGCCCACAGTGTCACGGGATCTCTTCAATCTCTTCACTCCAGGAGGAGGAAACTGGAGGGTTGATCATGGCATGCAACTATGGGAGCTGTTTCCAATCCCTTCTCCACTCATATTTGCAGGCAAAGTTTCTCTTGACTGTGTCCACTGAGTCTTTTGACCTCCCTCCTGAGCCTGAGTTTTCTCCTTTATCCCCCATAATCAAATGGAACCTGGACTTAGTGCTTCCACCCCCTTAGATGAGGAGGAAGGCCTTTAGTCATGAGCAGACCAAGGGTACGTCTAGACTACAGGGTTTTGTTGACAGAAGTTTTGTCGACAGATACTGTCGACAAAACTTCTGTCGACTTAGAGCGTCTAGACTACATTCAGTTCTGTCGACAAAGCAAGACGCTTTGTCGACAAAACTCTGTAGTCTAGACACAATCCTACATGCAATAACACCTTCTGTCGACAGAGCTCTGTCGACAAAAGGCGTTATGCCTCGTAAAATGAGGTTTACCAGTGTCGTCAAAACTGCTGAGTTCTGTCGACATTATGTCGACAGAACTCAGCGGTAGTGTAGACGCAGGTATAGTTTTGTCGACAAAAGTCTAATTTTGTTGACACCACCTGCATCAGTACTTCTAATAATACATGTAGCTTGTATCATCACCTGTTGTACTATGTGTGGCTGTGCTGCTTTGTGTGAAATAAATTGTAATGTGCTTCAGGCAGGGACCATGTGTCCCTACATATTACTTATTTGTATAGCACATAGCAGTTTTCCCACTCCATAATAATAACTAATATCACTTGGTAAAGTTCATGTCCACTTTATTTTTGAACAAGTTTGACTGATCAACAGTATGCTTAGTATAAAACATTATGGCTCAGTGAAAACAATGAAGTTAAACCAGGGATGAGTTCAGCTCTATATTTCCATTGGTCTTAGCTGAAGTGAAGTAAGATTCAACTTGTAAATCCAGTGTGTTCTTTTAAACATCTTCCTTGCAGACTTTCAGTTGTGTTTGTTACCTGGGCAAAAATAATGTTCTAACTAGAATATCTTTGGTGATACCTAACTCTATTATGCACACTTATCAAAAAGTTAACAACAATTTAACTCTCTTACCTGCAAAACATCAATAGAAACAGGGCTTTGGCACACCAGAAAAGAGTGCACATTGTCAGAGATGGCTTCAGAAGTTCTGGTTTTTCCTAAAAAGCAAACATAGGTAAGGTTTAATAGTAAAGCATAATGACAAATATATATTCTAAAAAAAGGTTATAGTAAATCAAACTTCTGACCACATGAAGCTTTTTTTACAGTGACTGTACACTGTAAATACATGCTAATTTATATCCTAAACAAGTGGGCTGTGTCTACACCGCACCCCTTTTCCGGAAAAGGGATGCAGATTAGACACTTTAGAATAGGCAAATCCGTGGGGGATTTAAATATCCCCCGCGGTATTTGCATTAACATGGCTGCTGCTTTTTTCCGGCTTGGGGATAAGCCGGAGAAAAGCGGCAGTCTAGACGGGATTCTCCGGAAAATAAACCCTTTTCCGGAGGATCTTTTATTCCTACTTTTTTTTAATATTAGGGGTTTTTTAATATAGCCTTCACAATACTTACATAGAGCTTATTTTTTCAGTATTCTTTAACACTGTAGACTTTAAAATATTAGGTTAAATAGTCTGTTGGTGACTTTTATAAATCATGATTGTTAGTTCTGATTATTAACAGAGTGCTTGAATTTGATAGCGACAGGCTATAAAGTGTTTGAAACTAAAGAGGGGATTGTGGAATTATGTAATATGGAAGATTTATGAAAAGCAGCTTTTTTTCATTTCCAGGGAGAGAGATGGAATTTCTTTCACAACATGAATAGTCTTGGGCACTAGTATCTGACAAGCTTGAAAAGCCTGATGGCCCCTTAGGATTATATTTTTAAATATTATGCTATTTTAAAATGCAAAGTAAATATATTCAGATAACAAAGAAAGCAATATTCCAAGTTTGTGAATGAAATCCTGGCCACACTGAAGAAAATATCAATTTTGCCAAATGCATCCACGCATTCACTCTGTGTAACATTGACTCTTGCTATACTTTGATCTCCCCATGGATAAACAGTTAATGTGCCTCATCCCTGTATTTCCAAAACAAATGTTTGGTAACTAGGTTTGCCAACTTTCCCGACCCAATGCCTTCCTGATGCTGCCCTTGCTGGTAATATGTCCGCAGCGCTTTATTTATTTGTATTACTGCAGTGCTATAACGATTCTAGTTCCAGGCTTTATAAACCCAACCCTCGGAAGTCTGCCATATGTCAGAATTCGCCCATGGCTACTATAATTTGTGTAAGTGACCACATCAACCCCCAGCTGACCAAACATCCATATACAGCAGAGGAGGTTTAAAGCCGCTTTTGTCACCCCTCCTGCTGGGTTGTGTTCTCTGTTGTGTGCTCCCCATAATCACAGCAGAGAATTGTTATGTGGTTAATTTAGGCAGAATTGATTTACTCTGAATTTTAAAGATTTGTATATCATTTTGACTATCATAAATTGCAAACTGTGGCTCTGGAACAGAAGGGTCTTTCAATCAACATATTTGAGAAATAATAGTCAAGCCTGCACAAATAACTTGCAGCCTGTCCAAAATTAACTTATCAAGAGTCCAGCCTACATTCCTGGCTCAACCAAAACTTCTAGAATTTTTCCTGAGTCCATACTTAGTGAAGGGTCTCTTGCAAATCTATGCTATTTCAAGAAAAATTAGCACAAAAATAACCCCTCATAAGCAATGCAAAGGATTTTAAATTAAACAGTGTGAAATAATAATTCATTATCTGTTTCTATAATAAAATAGCTCAGAGTTACTTTCATTGTAAAATCCATTCTTGCATTCTGAACAAATTTGCAGATACAAATGCATTTAATGTATATAATCCAAGAAGTTAGTAATATATATTAGTGCACTTTAAACAAGTCATATTGAGGTACACTTCTTGATCTATTTCTGAACCATTCATACATAGAAGCTTGAACATTTTGAAAAGAAAGTTCAGACACAACCTTTGCCCTGGAGCTCAGTTCTCCATTTCCAACTGATATGACTAGTCATTCCTTTGAAGCCAAAAAGTCTACTCCTGTCATTAAGGAATGCAAAATTCAGCTATTAATAAAATCATTTGGAGTTTTTTCTGAATGAGAACTGTGACATAGAACTATGAGAATGCATGATTGTTTTTATGCAGTAAAATGATTATCAACTTTGCTTTAATTCAAATCAGTGTAGGATAATGTTCCAGGATTTAGAATGTATTTTAAGATTATAACAATGTACCCATGATCTTTAGATTTTGGGAAATACATTAGAATTGGCTATAGTTTTGTAATGATGCAAAAGGAAGCCACAGCAACTCGTATACAAAGTTAGAGTTGAACTTTAAAATAGGAAAAAATAACATAAATACTGTTCATAAGTAGAAAAGGATTGCTAGTCAAATAATAGTTATATTTATATTTTATTCCATAAGTTTCCACTGACTAAAAGTACATTTTAAATAAATACATTCAAATGCTTTCATCCAAATGCTGTATATTTTAACCAGAAATATTTTACATTTTTCATACAAAGTCACTGTTACCTGGATAATTTATATATCTATGTTTAAAGTAAATTTTCAAGATGACAGATTTTGAGATGGGTAGGCTTTGGCTTTGTAAATTTTTTTTGTTTTGAGCAGTGTCATTGCATATGCTATCAGCTCAGTTTTCATAAGAAGCAATTTTACTTTTTCAAAGAATTCTCTCTAATTTGACTTTTCTTTCATCTGTTCACAAATAACAATTCGGGGTGGGGTAACTAACATTTTTTTCTATAGTTAAGCATAAAATATGAGTAAATAGAAATATTATCTGAAGCAGAAACCTGGAACTGCTTGGTCCCGGTACTTGGTTGTGTTGTAAAGCTCCTGGAAATAAAGTTGTGCCTTTATAGAAATGATGCTCCCAACTTACCTATATGAAAAAGATTTTGCATATAGCTCTTCCTTTGTGTGCTGGAAGGAGAGAAGATAACGCCAGACGGCTCTAATACGGCCTTGCAGCCCTAGGATCAGTTCAGGGATCAAGGAATAAGGGATGATCTTTGTTGGAATAGCCCACTCGGGTTACTGTGTGTGGAGCCTGACTCACCAGCGCCTCACGGAGCGTGTCTGAAGAGGGAGGGAGATGGCGATGACTAGGGGAAAGGCATCGCAGTGGGGGCGGGGGCGCGTGGTCTGAGTATACAGCTTCAGTCGGCTGCGACCCATCTCTGCCTCTGTCCATAGGGCAGGACCAGCCCGGGGCTTTGGAAGAAGTCTGCTCTCGGTGACAGGAAGGGAGGGGTGGGAATGGCTGGAGACTGGAACCCAGGGCTGGTCGCGGGGCACAATTGCACGTGCAGTGTCGGAGCCTCCTCCCTGCTCCTGCAGGGGACGCCGAAGTGGTCGGTGCTGCTCAGTAACAGCCGCCCAGCTGCTGCCCTCGCTCTGCCCTCGCTTGCCATCGGAAGCCCGGGGAAAGCGGGGCAGAAACGCAGAGAGGGGGCTAGCCCGGGCAAAACCGGGAAGGGGAATAAAAGGAGGGAAATTGGGCAGAACTGAGGGAGGAGGG